CTTTTCCTTTGTTAACAAATGTATCATTTTGTCTAAGTTGCATAACTTGAGGCTGTTTCATTGAGTAACCTTCATTCGTCACTGGATAAGATAAAATTGTTGTTACTTTAGGTAGTACAGGGGTTATTAAAGATAATGATACTTGTCACATTGGTCGAAACTATTATTCCTCTACTGCTCGTCCAGCCTTAAAACTAAGTAGATGGACTGGACAAAGGTACAGATAAAAAAATAAGTATCGTGAAGGAGAGAATTGAGGGTTTAAAAGCAACAAGACCGAATGTTTTCGTAATAATAACGTGAGTTTGTCTTATAATCATGAACATGATTGATATGTCAGTGTTCTACACAAAGTTCAGGAAGTAAACTAAAGCCATTTCTTTTCTTCTTTTTTTTTCAGCGTGTGTGGCCGTATATAATAGAAGACAGTACGTTATTCTTACAACAAGGTAGATAGGCCATTTAACAATACGTGCAGTTTATAAGTCTAGTTTATTCACGACGTCAAGAGAAGGCTTAACATGGATACGAATTACAGTATGTTGTGTTTGTCACTATCGCATAACATCTTTAGTTTTTACAAATTCCATAAAATCACAAAACTATTGCCTGAATACTTGAAACGTGTTCTTTTCAGGACTATCAACAAAATCACAAAACTATTGCCTGAATACTTGAAACATGTTCTTTTTAGGACTATCAACAAAATCACAAAACTATTGCCTGAATACTTTAAACGTTATTTTTAGGACTATCAACAAAATCACAAAACTATTGCCTGAATACTTCAAACATGTTCTTTTCAGGACTATCAACAAAATCACAAACTATTGCCTGAATACTTGAAACATGTTCTTTTTAGGACTATCAACAAAATCACAAAACTATTGCCTGAATACTTGAAACATGTTCTTTTTAGGACTATCAACAAAATCACAAACTATTGCCTGAATACTTGAAACATGTTCTTTTTAGGACTATCAACAAAATCACAAAACTATTGCCTGAATACTTTAAACATGTTCTTTTCAGGACTATCAACAAAATCGCAAACTATTGCCTGAATACTTGAAACATGTTCTTTTTAGGACTATCAACAAAATCACAAAACTATTGCCTGAATACTTCAAACATGTTCTTTTTAGGACTATCAACAAAATCACAAAACTATTGCCTGAATACTTCAAACATGTTCTTTTCAGGACTATCAACAAAATCACAAAACTATTGCCTGAATACTTCAAACTTGTTCTTTTCAGGACATCAATCAAGTATATATAAAACGGAAACAGTACCGGCTGGATGTTAATATATAGAACATTGTTTTCAACAGTTTTTGGCCTAATACACTGTATAAATACTTCAAAGAAATGAAGTGTTAGTTGTAGTTTTACTTGCTACATCATTTCCAAGATACTTTACCCATAATTACTTTAAACCTTTTAACTTAAGTCATATTTGATATTATTCAAATTTAGATTACGGTAGTAATTATGCAGTACAAAAATTCTGTATAAAATCATACTTCAAAATATCTTTAACTATCATTTATTAATCATAAACATTGTTAAAAAGCAGAATTAAATCGGAAAGCTGAATGGGAGAATTATTTACCCCCCGGCAACTGTCACACCAAAAAATGCACGAAATAATATTTCACGTGTGCAACTTGACGCCCTGAATCCAAGTACTGTTTTTATCCCTATAATGTTTACGTGGAGAAATGTGGCCCTAAAAGTCTGGAACTATCATCAGCAGATATAGGAAAATAAATATTATACAAAGTTGTATCAAAAAATTATGAAGAAGTAAATCGAGGAAGGTCAGATTCAAACCTTCAACTAGCACAATGAAACATGCTGGTTTTCACTACACGGCCACACTAGAAACTAGCACAATGAAACATGCTGGTTATCACTACACGGCCACACTAGAAACTAGCACAATGAAACATGCTGGTTTTCACTACACGGCCACACTAGAAACTAGCACAATGAAACATGCTGGTTTTCAGTATACGGCCACACTAGAAACTAGCACAATGAAATACGCTGGTTTTTAGTATACGGCCACACTAGAAACTAGCACAATGAAACATGCTGGTTTTCAATATACGGCCACACTAGAAAGTAACACAATGAAACATGCTGGTTTTCACTACACGGCCTCACAAGAAACTAAAACAACTACACGGCCACACTAGAAACTATAGCAATGAAACATGCTGGTTTTCACTACACGGCCACACTAGATTACTCGCAAGGTGTTTGGAGATTTTATACGTATGCTTAATGGTAAAAGTTACCTAATTTAGGGTACGATTTCTCCGTGTTTGTATGAGTACAGAAAAACTTAAATTGACCGTGTCAATCACTGAGGAGGGAATGATTTTACTATACTTAATTGTTCATCTGTAGTTTCAATGCATAAACACTGGAGCTTTACAGCTTTAGATAAGAGTAACAATTATAGATTTTAAAATTAGCTTCAACAGATGTGGCAGTAACTGCTCACGGTTTTCAACCGATTTTATCAGACAGACACATGTACAAACGTTACCGACCATTTGATGTTATCGCGTTTCATATTAAATGGAAACAGCTTATTCACATTTCTTCTGTGAAAACTAGGAACAGAATGTATAAATAACCAAACATTGTAATAATGACTATTACTATACTCTCAGCTCAGGTTTGTGATGGGTTTATTATTATTATACATTTATTTTAATATTGATGTTTGTTTAAATTAAATTTATATTTAGAAATGTACATAACTTATACTGTTAAATATGTATTGCGAAACACCCGCCTATTCTCTAAAGTTGTAGAAGATTCTCGAGAGTAAGAATCAACAATATATGCGTCAGTATTGTTACGTAAACTGAAGTTTCGAGAAACTCTCCACACGCCTATAAATATAACCAACACGACGCTCCAAATAATAGTATCTATTATTGGTTTGCTATAGTTGGTGTGCTATAAATTTTGGAAGTTATAACTGTGATTATTGTAACGCTTATTAATCGGGACACTTCAGATATTTGACCAGGAATATTTATAAATTTCGAACATTATGAACTATTAAACATCAGTGGATTCACATCGGACATTAGTACTTTTACCGAAACATTACCTAACGTCATCGGTAGAAAAAAATCGGCGTGTGATTAGCGAGAAACACAAAGTTAGCTAGCTCACTATTAAGTGAATTGTACTTACGTCAACTCGTAATTAACTCGCTCATCGCGAACCTTCGATAAGATATCAAGGAAGTTCCAGAAAAGAAAGAAGACTTTATATTGCTTGTAAGTTTGTGAAACTTTTGTTTATAAATCGTTGTTTGTAATAATTA